AAAGCTATCTTGGAGATGAAAGACCTCCTAAATGACACCACCAGGAAAATAGCTATAATGGAGCATGTATTTTGCTTCCAAGATGAAAGTCACCTTCTTACACTGAGAAAGGCATCGATATTAAAACACACAACTACATAAACAAGGTTAAAGAATGTAAAATGTGATGCTTCTGATGGGAAGGGAGTGAGCTGGACCAGGACAGTTTCTACCTTTCTATTTACATTTTTCTAGTTATTTCCAGGTAAGCGGCAAACTATTTTAAGTCTTCTTCAAAACACAAGTGAAATTTTAACACACAATATAGGACCATGAAAATTGCCATACCAGGGCTGTCTAATCCTAAAGACTGCCTCTGATAACAGCCAACAATAGATATCTCATGGGAAGATACAAACCTTCATATAATGGACAGTGCTTATGGGAAAATTACTTCCTATCCCCTGAGGAGAAGACTGGTTATTTTATGCTGTGCTCATGTGGGAACCTTACACTTTATCCCTCTTAACCTTGTTTAATTTAACAGTGAGTATTTTCCATTACCCTTTCAAATCCTTCTGTGATTCCTGCTACTATTTTAAAACTATAAATCCTTGGGCAGCCTGTACCACCCATTATGTGATGCTCTGATCCACCAGCCTTCCCTCCCCCAAAACATTTTCCTGCCTTTAATTTTCCTGAAAGAAGGTATCATTTATTCCATTTGTCAACTTGTACACTCTGTGGCACACACTATAGGCCAAATATTTTCACTTCCCGGTTGTACAAGGAGGGTCGCTGTAATTCGGTCATTTTTTTCCTGCTTTACTTTCTGGTCTGAACACAGGAGTCTGCCTTGATCAAAACGTTGGAAGCTCCAATATCACAGGCCACACTCCCAAGCCAGAGGTGGCTGCAATCTCTTCTGCTCAGAGCAGCTTAAACGTGCACCTCTAAGCTGTCAAGAGGACATTTGTGCCACTCTCTTTCAGCCCCGCGTGCCCACCTCGGATATTCAGAATCCAGCTCTCCAGCAATGCATGGAGGTACCACTCCCACCCCTCGAATAAAAGCAAAGCACCAGCTGTGAATGCTGTATTCACAATACCATACTCCACAGACAATGTGACTTTATTCACAAATATGATTTTTACAGAGGTAGAACAAAATACTTTGTATAATTTTTTTAAACTATATACATATAAAGAATATAATAGAATGACAAGAAAGAAAAGGTGTAAACAAAACAATATTATGCCATCAAATACAGTACAAACAGCATGCAAGAACAGCTTCAAATGAAACCTTGCTGGTGTAACTTTATTTCTAATGTGGTAAACGAAGAGTAGTAAAGAGTCATGCTCTAATTGGATCGAGTATGCCACAGCTCTGCAATTTTAATTATTTTTTTTTTCTTTTACAATAAACCAACAGGATAGCTTTCTTTTCACTGTGGTGGGGAATGCTTTTGTAATGCCCAATGTAATCTTAACAGAAAAATATAATAATCAAATCTACAAAGTGTACTCTCATTTAAAAAGCAAAACCATAGAAACTGTACAGTTTTAAAAAGCGAATTATCTCAACTGCTTCTTAAGAGAATTTTCTAAACAAAGAATAAAATATGCAGAATAAAAATTAGGAGAGCTATTGTTCTGTAACAAACCTAATCAAATACTTGTTTTCTATTCCAATAAACAGGTTTTTTTAATTAATGACTATTCTGGAAATTATGGGGTGGGCTGGGTTTTATTAATGTTCCACTTGACTAATAAAGCATGAACTCCTTACAGGTACTATAGCTGTCATTCCCCTGGGGATAGATGGAGATTGGTTCTGCATGCATGCTAGAGACAGGAACAAGGTTTAGTCATTGGTGTAGATTTAAAAAATATTTTAAAATGTTTTAAATGTTTAGTAGCATCTATAAAAATAATCTTGCTTGTTTTACTACTGGGTTGAGATTTGGATATGGGATTTTCTGCTGAAATTCATTCTTGGCCCTCTCAATTGCCAAGGACTTCCACTGGATGTTACCTGGGCTGCACCAGGTCCCACAGACAATGGTCAGGAGCACTGGGCAGAGCTCACACCTGAAACACGTGAAGCCAACAGCAAACCCCACACCGTTTTCCCTGTGGCTAGGGCTGAACCTCAAGGATCTGGTCTTTGGGGAATGGTGCTGTCCTACCCCTCCATCCCTCTAAATCTCAGCCCTTGTCATGGGAAGGGCGAAGACTGGAGAAAGCAACTGTGCTGTTACTCCTACAAACTATCAACGCTGGTGACAACCACCTCTCCATCCCTCACATCTGCACACACTGTGACTACATGAGCGTGGGGTCTGGTCAGGTCACGGTGGGCTGTGCTCGCTGCTGGGCCTGTGGGAAAACACGGTTTTCTCCCTCTGCCACAGGCTTTGACCAGAGAGGAAGGAAACTGTGAGCACTGGGGTTGAATTGCCCTCCTGCAGCTCTCCCGCTTAAATGTCATTTAAAGATTCATCCACAGACACAGCACCTGTAGATTCAATTTGTCTTTATCAAGAACACGAGGATGGTCAACATTAAACACACGCTGTTTATGGCTACGCGTCAGGCACCAGCCCAAGCTTCAATCGCAATAAGTTTACTCAAGATAAAGCAGAATATTGAACGGGGAAGGACGGTGGCTCTCATTTGACTCTGAGCTCTCAGGTGATGCTGGATTCCAGGAAGAAGCTCAACTCAAGCTGCCAGTGAACATGGGGCAGGACCCACGTCCAGTGCAAGTGGCCAGCGGTGGCCTGAACAACATCCTTTGCCAAATCACAAGTTAACTGCAGTGAAAACGGTAAAGAAATACCTGCCCTGCATGAGAAACCCATCTCTGTGGCTTCATCCATGGCTTTGGCATCTTCCCGGGAAATGGATTATCAAACCCCTCCGGATTGCCCTGGTGCAACTGAAACCTGTGTTTCACTAACAGACCCTGCGGCAGGTGATCACCCTCAGAAGCAGGGCGTTTACCGAGAGGTGAGAACAGGACGCTACCTGCAGACAGAACACTCAGTGTGATAGTTTACAGTCAACAGAATAAGCCTGACACCTCTTTGTGGAAGAACTGTACAAAACATGGCTGAAATAACAGGACTGTCAATGACATTCAGTGGGACAGACTCTAACCCTCTGAGTAAGACTGCATCTTTCTGTTGTGTAAACTGGTCTACAAGTATGAATAAAACAATAGACCCCTGCCCCATTAGCCTTGGGGAAGATTAATGCCCTCTAATCTACGCTAAATAAACTCCAAAGCATGAAGAGCAATATTTAAGTCCTACACTCAGCTGCTTGTGAATTAACAGGGATCACCCTGAAATTGCTATTATGAAATGCAAATATTTGCAAAAGAACAATTAAAAAATATTCCTGGAGTGCAAACGAAAAGCTTGTCAGCCATGTTTGTGGTATGCACAGGGACAGTCAGAAGGCGAACGCTAATGCATCCCATGGCAGAAATCTGTGCTAAAAACACATTAGCCCATTGGCAGTAGGTAATGGCACAGCATCTTGCTCTGGGAAATAATTCTACCCAATAATCGGAGGGCTTGGGTTAGGATGCCCTGATTTTGATTCTTTGGACAGTTTGTTTGGATATAACTACCTGTATTTTCAGAAAGCTGCAGTACATGGCTCACAGTAAATCTACTTCAAACACTTGCTGATACTGCTCAAACTGATCTCATCTGCCCTGATCTGCAATTTTGTGTTAGCTAAAGTAATAAAAGAATCCTGTTAAACCTAAATTATCAAATGAAAAAGGCAATTTTCTCATTCATACTCCATTAGTTTTTTTAGTTATTGCTAGGAAAGCTCTAAAATGCTTAGGCCATAAAATAAACATGTGGCTTAATGTACAGTATGTGTACTTAAGAGGATGATGGCATCTGCAGTAACTGCTCTATACTGCTATAGTAATGGAACGCACAAATGAAGCAACAGCACATACCAAGCAAAGCATACAAAAATGTATGGCAAAAAGTAACAAGCCTTCTGCTTTTTTTTTTTTTTTTTTAAATAACTCTTTAATTGCTAAAAAGAAGAAATCACCAATATCCACACCCACAACACAAAATTGCAACATGGTTGATTTCGACAGATGCCTGTTACCTCTGTGCCAGCAAAACTCTGTGATATTGTCATCTTTAACATTTCACTGATTAGAAGTTTATAAAAGCTTCCCCTTCCCAAATTAAATTCAGTGATATATTTTCCAGTGCTGAAGTTAAACGATTAACTTAATATGGTTTCAAGCACACAACACTGTTAAGATTTTGGAAAAAAAAGCACCCCAGATTCTTAAACCATGGAGATGTAGGATAACATATGAAAAAGCATCGAAGTATTCACTTTTGAAAATGAAATTAAGAGCCTAGATCACATAGGTACCTTTGATGATTCTACTCAGGCCCTTCATTCAAACATATCAGAGTACTTTCTATCAATAATTTAAATTCCTTCAGAAGAGTACCACAACTAAAGCTATGAATTCACATAAGCAAGATTGCATAACCAAACTATTCACAGACACATTTTAGCATTACTTTGCAACAGTAGGCATTAGGATTTTGAGAACATAAGAATCTCTGAAATTCAACCCGTGTGCTTCTTTATCCCTTAATGGTTAGTTAAAATAGGTATCATTCAGAACAAGGAGCAAGCAGAAAGGTGCAATGAATGTCTGGATCAGACAGACTCGATGAGAATCATAAAATGCAGATTGGAGATTTCCCCCTCAGCCAGGCTTTTACAGAAATATATTTTTCCCGGCTAAAAAGGATGGCACAGCACAGTTTTACAGAGGGAAATGCAAAAATATAAAGAGGAGAGTCCCGTTTTCTTCCTCAGTAATCCCATAAAATCAACCATCTGTTTCCACAACAGCTCCGGACATTTACCTGACTGCTGACAGGGCCTTTCCCCATCACCTGAGGTGAGTCTACACTCTCCTTTTCCGCGCTGTCAGTGGTAGGTACACGGTCAGAGTTGTTGTGCTCCTTATCCCCCAGCTTCCCATTAATGTGACCAACTCGTTCTCCCCAGTTGCAACAACTGTGCAGGCCTACTTACTTACAGTTCAGATTTTCTTCCATTCATGGCACAAAGCTGAAAAGTAAACAACAGTTAAGAAAACATTTGCTTGCCAAAGCCCAGCATGAGAAGGTGCAAGCTCTCTTTGCCAGAGCCTGGACCTGTGTTTACTCACACCCTCAGCACTGTTTCATGCTCTAGCTCGGCATTGTATAGGAACAATCACCATCCTCTTCAGGCCCCCCACCCCCCATTCAGCCTTTGAGAAGTTACAGAATATAACAGAACACTGTTTTCTGAGACTATATTGACTGCACTAATTACCCACAATACTGTATATTTGCTATTAAGAACATAAATGTGTGCTTTCAAAGTGTGACATTCAGGGCTTCGAGGATGTGAAAGAAATTAGGTGGATTGTTCTGTCACTTAATCCGAGGCTTCAATGTACTTTTAAAAACTTGTTTAAAACCCCAAAAACCAGAATACACATTTTAACTGTTGAACTTTTACCAGCTAAAGGAGTTTGTAAGGACCCTATCACTATGTGGTTACAACAGAAGATACACAGTTAAGGTCAGGTTACGGTTTCCAAGAACATTCACAGGGACTGAGGATGAGGAAAACGAGGGATGGATCCTGCAGGAACCTTTGGGAGGCCGAGCTGCTCACTGGGGAAGTGCCTTGAGTATTGCATTCACTTCCTCTGCAACCGCTGTCAAAGCAAATTCAAACTGCTCCTGTGGAGAGAAGAAACGCATACTCTGAATAATAAAACACTTTCCAAAAGCCTGGTGCACTATTCCGCAGCCGAGCATCCTCAAGACATTGTTAAAAATATGAATATGCAGGAGGAACTGTACACTGCAATGGGAAGGAACAAAATGTTCTGGGATTATTGATGCCATATAACATCTTTGACAGCATCTTGAAGTTGGAGTCATTTTAATGGAGAAAAATGTTGGTAGCAGAAACCAAGCTATTGGGACACAATGATGTATTGCAATTGCATGGTCAGAAGGGTTTGGGAGTAGTTGATCACCAGCCATTTCCTTCTGACACAGAGATGGAAACTTGTTAACATAATTGAGATATGAAATAGGTGAGATGCTGCAAAGCAGAGCCTTTGGCTTTTCTCAAGACTGTTTCTAGGTGAAATCAGCTGGAATAAATACCTCCTCACTGTATATCTATTACATAGAACAGTATCTGCTTTTTGGTTTACTTGTTATTCTTCTTTTTCAGCCTCCCTTTTTAATGGCATTTCTGCACCCACAAATTACCTAATGACGGTTAGACCACTCCTATTTAAGAAATACTTGGGAAGGCTTTTCTCTGCTATTAATTTACTGTAAGCATAAACCCAAAATTACTAACGGGCTTCCGGGCTGGGTTGGCAGAGGTGTGAAGGACACAGCCATGAATGGCCACCTCCTCTAAGTTCTACCCTAACACACTCCTGAACTGTGTAGTTCTACAAAAGGACAAAGGAGTTTTACTTCCTCAAGGTTAAGAGGTGTTATATTTTCTAAGCAAGTAATTTTTCTCAGAAATTTACCTTACTGAAGTGTCTGACAGGATGATTTGGCATTTGCAGCTTTTCAGATGAAAAAAGAAAAGAGGGCAGTTTACTCAGAATATAGGCAAATCAAGGACACCAGACAAGGACTGTGGAGAAGTTTCTGGATTTTCTAGAAGTACTCCAGTGGTTTAAGCCAGCCGGGGTCAAGAGCTGCTGAAGAACCGACTTTAAGAACGGAGATCTGAGATGCACCCTGCAAAGCATCCTGAGATCACTGCTGGGATACTCTCTGTGTCTCCAATTAGAGACCTGGTGGTCTGGTAGGTACCACCAGCCCCTCAGTTTGCCCTGCCAGCGGCTGTGCGGGATGGCTGCAGGTATGTACGCAGCAGTGGTGGATGGCTACAGAACACGGCCAGCCCCCAGAGGTGATTACTGGGCTAACAGCATTCATTTTCCACAGCGTTTCACTTTACTGTGGAAATCTGCTGGAAGGATGAAAGAACAAACTACAGATGTGCAACTCGTAGTTCAGAAAGGCAGCTGACTTTTAATTCCTGCAATTCAGTGCCAATCTTCTCTGCCTTGTCTTACCCCGCTGCAGAGTCATCTCCCATGTGGAGATGCCTCTGAGACAAGCAATGATGGGCACAGTTCCTGAGCAGGAAAAGAAGAACAAAACTCAGAATAATTTCTCAGAGACACTGACATTCAAGAATTTTGCTGTCTGCTTGGTGCTGTCAAAGTGGCATCCTTGTACATTTGCTGGACTGCAGCCAATAGTTTTTAATCAGATATCAGTTCACCCTAAAGAGTAGGACTCACCCTCATTAGGCATAGAAAATGGTGTATATGCCTGCCTATGCCTCCCCGCACTCCCCAAGGTCTCTGCAATTAAAGAAAAGACTGGAAGTGCTGGTGGCCACCCAGGAGCATCAGTTGTATTTTAACCAGAGTACACCGAATGTGTGAGAGGAGCTGGAGGGCAGCGGAGGCAGAGAGGGCATTCATCTGGCCATGCCGTGCCAGAACCAAACCGGGTGCCTTGTACCAGCTCAAAAAGCTTCGGGAAATTTGGGCTGACGCATGAGAAGTGCTCGCCTCTGGGAAAAAGAGCCTTGGCAGGAGCAGCCGGCAGCCGCTGGACCCCATCGGTGCAGACCTGCGAGGCGAGAGACCGGTGGAGCAGCCTGGGCAGGGTGGGAGACCTTTGTGCTGGGGCTGGAAGGAGGGGGGCAAAGTAGGTGCTCCCGGGATGCCGGCACTCAGGTGTGAGCGGGACAGCTGGTCCCCGTCGCTGCCAGTCCTTCGGGGAGCACAACAACAGAAGAGGCTGATCTGAGCACGATGGGGTTGACGTGGTGATGCAGCCAAGTTTTCAGAGATGTGCAGATGCCTCTTCCAAGATGTGGGCGTCGGTTCGGAAGAAGGGAAGCTGCCCATGGCAATGAGGCTACCTAATGTGCTCTTCATCTGAGTATTTTACAGTCAGGAAAAGCTTGTAAGATCAGGGGCTACGATACTTTAAAATTAGTCCCATTCCTGAAAATAACTTGTATTACTCTAAAGTTATTCACTGAGCAAATCTGCCCTTTAACCTTGTTGGTCCCAGACGTGTTCACCTTATTGTAAAGACCTGTCAGGCTGGAGATCATCTGACCTGCGAGTGCCTTTACCCTCACGGAGGCGTAGTCCTCATGGGAGCACAGGCCATCATTGCACCACCTGAGGAAAAGTGTCTGCCTCGCCCGAGGACCGTGGATTGATCAACATGAACTCCCAAGTTCAGTATGGATTTTGGAGACAAGTTCAGTGGAGACCACCGGCTAACACTAGGTGTGACCTTAAATTACTGAGGCAAAACAACTTAAAAAGCATCATCTTTACAGCCAGAGGTCAAAACTGACTGTGAAACACTGCAGTAAAAGGGACAGTAGAGCAGACACATGAGATGTGTGAGGATGTGGTCTCTCTCGGATGGCACAGCTGAGCTCTTCCCCCTCCTCCCTTCTGTGTAATATGCACAGGTGAAATGCAGATACTGCAGCTTCCATTGATGTGTATCACACCCTCCAAAGAAAAGCCTTTACACACCTTCTGCGCCTTTCCATGAGAACAACCACAGTTAGAGCAAATTAATTTCAGTAAATTTTAAAGGAGCTCAGTTTGTTGTTTTGTACAGCTACGCTATCATTCACATATGCTATTCGTATGTACAAGATTGACTGGAGATGAATTTTAACATCTAGCTTTTCCTAGAAAACAGAGCCGGACAGGCATTTTGTGGTGTCAGTCCACCTATAATGCAGAGGTGACAAGAATATATTTAGTAAAAAATAATAAGCTATGTTTCATTAAGTCTACAAATAAAAATTCCCAGGAAAACAAACTGAGAACAGGTAGCATATATGACACAATAAAGAACCTTAGCTAAATATTACAGATTGCAAGAGGAAAGATACAGGAGAGAGAAAAAAAGGAAATATATATTTTTCCCATCACAGAGAATACACTTCCTCCTTCATTACTTTTTCCTCTCACATGTGGCATATCAATTCTATTTTATGATTCCCCTGCAAAAAAAATAACAAACCCACAAACCCTCTATTATGCTTCTCAGAAATGCAGAATGTCGTTATGATAATTTCATTACCATTTATTATATACAGTGCTTTTGAATTAAAGATCCCTTCCAGAAGACAAAATGTTGCAAACAAATCTTTCACATGCTTATTGAAAATGTGGAGCGCTGCCTGCTGGAAACACAATAACATTGCTGAAGTAAGTTGGTGTTTATTTTGCCTAGGGATATTCTGTAATTGGCATTTCTAACCTGACTTTTAATCCATCGTTTTAAATTACTCCAAGAGTCTAATATTTCTCATTTGTATTCAGTGGGGAAAGCACAGGGGTTTGTTTAAATCCATCAGAAAAATTCTCTGGGGATCATGCATTGCTAGCATGTAACCAGATATTTATAATTTGCAAGACATTAGCTTGAATAAGTGATTTGGGTGGTTTTGAGAAAATGACAATGATGCAAGAAGGAGCAAGAGGAGAGATAAGCAATATCCTGAGAAAATTTTTCATCCTGGATGAAAACACAGGATACGTTTCTTTTCTGGAGCTTTTCCAGATAAATGTTTGGAGGGGAAAAACACGTCTCGAGTGAGATTTTCATGGGACTTGGGTAACTACTTCTGAGCTAAGTAAGAGAAGTTGTTCACATAACCTCATCCTTTGGTTCTGGAGCTATGCTTTTTCTTTTGTTGAAGGCAACAAGCTGTAATTTCTCTGCTCTGAGAGGGAAACTGGAATCTGAGCTCTATATTTCTACAGAGCTGCCATATATTTTGGATGCATTTACAGAGTAGTTCAAAACTTGCATCTTCCCTCAGAGTAAATATATGTGACATTGGATATGGTGTGCTATATGCATTTTTTTTCCAGTCTGAATAATCAGAGCAGAAGAAAGATTTGTGCAATTTTATGTCTTACTTGCAGATAAAGATTAGTCAGCTTTGACTGGCTCATCTTTATTTTTCATGCACTTACTTAATTGGTAAATAATAACTAATGTCCCCCCAACTGTTCTCCAGCCCCACTTCTCCTAGTATTAGTGGGAAGATAAAATGATTAGGAAGAGATTCAAGAAAAGTTATGAACCAATGATTCCTGCAACACACATTTATTTCACCTTTGTCCCTCAGCAATTTCAACTCCCTAAATGCTGCAGACTTTCCTATCAGTTCCAGCCTGGCCAAGACGGAGTGCTGTCACATTGCTCTTGTTACTCCGTTTGGGGCTATAACTCTCATTCGATATTTTATGATGTCATACACTGATTTATTTGGTCTCCATGCCATGAACGAGTTTCTTTATTGTCCTATTTGTAGCTCTTAACTTGCAGCAAATACCACAAACTATCATTCCATACGTGACTGAAATTGTTAATAATAGAAAGTTTCATTTCTAATTTGAGGGACTATAATCACACCATCAGCTATCTTTAAAAGTTTTACATTGTGGAAAAATGTCAAAACTATTACAACTGACAGGAATTATAGAGCAAAATGTTCACCTCACCAAAGGGTACAAATATAGTTACCATGCTACATCCATAAAGGACACGGCTTTAGGCACAATGTAAGCTCTTCCATTCAAAAATACTAAAAATGACTTGATTTCCTACAAAACTATATTTCCTTTAATTCAAAACTTTTTTTTTTTCAGGAAAAAAATCAAATGCAGCAGTTACATTCTCTTTAATGAGTTTAAGCTTTTGAAAAAATATTACATGCACAGATACTCTAAGAAAACAATCCATATTTCAGGATGAAAGCAAGAGCATTCTTTCAAATGCACATTTTCTTTAGTAGGCTATAGATTCTTGTCTTGACTGCCCTTCATATATGGTAATCAAGATAGATGTTGGAGATGTTACAAGAAAGAGCAGTAAACACCAAAGAAAGTAGCCTAGATAAATCTTCAGCATAAATAAACCTCAGTTGGTAGGGAGCCAAACAGAGTAATCAGCAAGCGACCTGCGTTAAATTAGGTCATACTCTCTCTCTTCTGTCATGAAAACAACTACTGTGAAAGACCTTTAATGTATTTAAAATCCCAGTGGATTTATTGACAGTACCTTTGTCTGGACCATGCCTGGTCTCTGGTCCCTCAAGTGCTCCAGGGTAGCAGCAATATCAATCTCTTTAGCACCTGCAACAAACCACAAATTGGGCTGAGTTCAGAGCACAAGATAATCCATGCTGCATCTGTCAATCTCTTGCTATCGGGTTCCCTTTGGGCTAACAGTCCAATTGAAAATTATTACATCCATCTCTCAGCAGACTTGGCAGGCAGCTGCAATTTTTGTGTTCATATAGAAAAATAAGAGGTTGGGGCAGCTTTTATTAACATTAATTCAAGAAAAGCCAGAGAAAAACAAATTCTTAAAAAATGCATCTGCACCTAGAGCAGAATATATTTTGCAGAACCTAAGGGTCTGTTGTGGCAATGCCACCGAGTGCCCCTTTGTCACTTCTAAGAGTATGCACTGAATTAGGGCCCAAACCACACAAAGATTTATGCTGTTGAAACAAGATTTAGGTGAACTTTTGTCACCTGCAGCCGAGATCCAGAAAACCTGCCTGTGGCTTCTTAGTTCAAGACCTGCCAGACCACCTTGCCGAGCGATCACTCTTTCAGCCGGCAAACCTACAGCATTTTCTTTAGGTTATACTTTGGATGTCGGGATACCGCTGCTGCGCAGTGCTCAGCAGCACCAAGATGCAGAAAACAGGCACATGCAGCCTAACTGCTGCGGGGACTGGCTCCCTTCCTCGGTGCAAATGGAGGTGCTTTCTTTTAAGACGTGATCTGTGGAGAGCAAAGCAAGTCCTTGTGCTTCTCACCTTTCTTGTAATAACCCAGAGCCTGGAGAGCCAAAGGGGACAGGGAGATGCTGATTTCCCTCTCAATTTCCTCCAGTTTAAGATGTTTTAAGACCATCTTCCTCATTTTCCTTAAGTGCCTAACCTGACACATCTTTTGAAGGGATTGAGAGGAAATCAGGATTTTGGTCCCTCCTGTATGAACTCCAAGAGTAGAAGCCTGGCTGGAAATCCTTCAAGCTGAGAAGTTCACCTACAGAGTTTGGCTCTTTGGCATTCGTCCCCTTCTGCATCTTCACACAGTGCCTGCCAAAGCATCACGCAGATGGGCAGAGGGTCACCCTAGCCAAAGTGTAACTGCCCCACCTCTGCTCCCCTGTCCCCTACTGCCCTGGTTGTCCGTGCATTCTCCTAGGGCAGATGTGGGTCCACAGCTTCTGAAGCTTAGAAAGATGCTGACCTCAGGTCTCTCTTCTTTTGTACATACAGTTTTGTCATTAGATGGCTTACCAAGAACAGGGATCAGCTACAATTCTGAAATCTGCTCTATTTTAAAGGATACTCAATGGTGTGCTCTGAAGAACACTGTGGCCTTTCGCTGTGCAGCTTGACAACCATTTCCTATTGCCTGGCCCTAGGAATCTCCTGGCCCAGCCTGTGCCAATTTGGGAATTCCTTCTGGAGGCATTTAAATCTGCCCAACTATTCACAGGGGTCTTGGCGCCTAACTTGTGGGCCACGCACCTAAAGCATTGCTGCTGCAATAGCTAACTTGTACACATCTAGAACATATACTTGTTTAGTTCCCAGGACTGGATTTGGAGGATTGGGCCCAATTCTTAACACTCCTCCTACAACTCTTGTAATTTAAGGGCTTAAGTCTAACTGTAATTAGGTTCATGTCAATGTAAACATCATGCACCTCCTCATTTACCTAACTCAACTTTATAACTCAGCACCATCTTTTAAAAAATTCAGAAAAGCAACTAATGGTGAATGATTTCATTTGGTTTCCTTTGATAAAAGATAGGAGAAGATATTTAAAAATAACATCAGCTCTATAAGAATAATTGATTTGCAATATATTCTTCATATTGTTGAATATATGTTCTTCAGCTGTAACAGAAATGGAATGATATCATTCAGTCACAACTTGGAAAAGGTATCTGAAAGATATTTTTGCTAATTACCATGGGTTGTGCATTGTATGGCTTTTGCTTCCTCCACAACCCCCCCCACTGTACAGGAATTTACATGGATGAGCTTTGGAAAAAATAGAAAGTTTTATTTTAAAATAAAAACCCCCAAACCTCCTTACAATGGAGCAAAGCAATACATACATACGTTGTAAAGTCTGATAACAGTGACAGTAATTATACCTTAAGTCTGTTGCAGGTTTTGCATTTGCAGTGGCAGTTCATCTGGAAAGCATCAGTAAAGGTACACTCTTTGTAAACCCTGGTGTAAAGCACTGGTGTAACATGGTAGCTCATTTTAGCATTTAGTCTCACACACGCACATGCAGTTAGGAGAGATTTTCCTGTTCCACCACAGATGTCCATAGCAGCAGAGTTGTGTGAGTACTGCACATGCTTTACAGCCTTACTTGTGGCCTCATTGGATAACCAGGAATTAATATGTCCCAGTAGCATCTTGGTTCAACATAAGAGGAATTCTCTCTTTCAGAAATTAAGCTATGAGAAAAAATTCAGACACCAGCATCCATGGATGAGGTTAACCCCAGTCCTGAGCTGGCCTCCGAGGTGTGCTGCAAGGATGAACCCGGAGATCCTCCCAGTGGAGCTGGCAGGCTCGAGTGCCGCGTGGGCTTCCCCATGGCTGCAAACATGTACGTCCCCCCCTTCAGTGAGGGATGGTCTTTATTTGAAAATACTCTAGCCTCAGGACTAAATGGGAAAAGGTTCATGACAAGACCTTAATAACAATCTTTAATAGCCAGATGGGCTTCTGAGCTTACCTTTGAAAGAGTTAATTCCTCCATTTCTGTGATGCAGGTTGCAGGCATTCACTAGCGAACTAATGCTTGCTTTTTTATCATCATTAATGGAATGACATGCCTAATAGTATGAACAACACCTGATTATAAAATCCTGATTTAGCAAAACACCAAAGCATATGCTTGCACTGGAAGGCTTAAAAATACTAGGCTGGAGAGCACTGACAATTAGAAAAGAGAATACAAAATGTGTCAAAAAGGCAATATTTTCTATCTTTTCTCCCCACCAATACATATCTGTCTGCTTAACAGTGCTACTGGTTTCAGAAAATAAAGAGAGGGATAAAAGAGGAAGCCTTTAAAGAATAAAGAACTGCCTTTTCACCTTTTGACTGTATTTTACTCTGCAGGGAATAAGAATAGTCCTAGTGGGCCACTGTGCTTAACGGGAAGCTTGTTTTGAAGTGTTTTGTCAGTAGAAGTCCCCGATACGTCAGTTTTTACTGATTAGTGTCCCCCAGTCCATGGGCTGTGATCAGCATGTCACCCACAAGCACTTCTGATGTCCTCAGCCATAGGTAATTAAAAGGAAAAGGAGAGCAAAGTATGATCTTGCCCAAATCACCTGTCTTGTTGAGAGGCCGGGGGGTAGAGGCAAGGCGAAGCAGAGGCAGAGATAGGTTTGCTATCCCCTTTTTTCCATTTCTGAATGCCTCTGATACTATGGTGATGGGAACTACCTCAGTACCTAGAGAGGCTGATCAACAAAACTTAGTGCTGCAAAGACGGGCAGCTGTTTTGGAAGAAAATTCTCTTGGAACAAGAAAATTCACAGGAAAAAGGATGAAATCAATGGCATAGGATAAAGCCAGCATGACTTGTTGTCTCTCTACATGAGCAAACCTCTCTTCCTCCCCCGCATCCACCACTACATGTTCTGCATCTATTCCCTTATTGTGCCTAAACCAAAGGAGTTTAAATATATATAGTCCACTATTAAATCTCATTTTGTGATGAGGGCTTTTTTTCTATTCAAACTTACGCTAGATTGCTGTTATATTATGTAAATTCAGCTCACTTCCACTGATGTGTGCGATGGTAGTCTGTAGAAAGTTCTCCAGTGACAGAGATGGACAAAGAAAGAGATTTTCAAGGCACAAAGGGAGGTCTGAACGCAACCTGCATTCACAGGTGAGAGGAGCTCAGTGTTTCACTGCAGTGGGAGCTTTCAACTCTCTTTGGAATTATTTCGTTGAAATCTGACACAAATCCAACATCTTCTTCGCCATGCTGAGGCTTTCTCTTTAATCTGAGAGTACAACAGTATGACATAACATTCTATAGTACCCAGTAACACTTTTATTTATGCTTTTGAGCCATTTCAGGTGACAAAAAATACAGCATATGCTACATGACTCTGGGAGAGAGGGATACTGCATCTAAGGACATTAGGGTCAAATCATGCTCTTACTGAGATGGCTGCAAAATATCCACACACTGCTAAGGTATTTTAAACATTGCTTATCTGGAAAGCCCACAAACTAAATTTGATGCAGTGGTTTAGAGTAAAAGCTGGAAGAACCCGATCCACTGATTCCAAGGATATCCCATTATGGGAAGTGTTTTGCTCAGGCTACTAAACTATGAAGTGCAGTAATAGATGGAGATGTCAATTTATTGCCATACAACAAATAATCTAGAGGAAGGCTTAAAAATACTAGGCTGGAGAGCACTGACAATTAGAAAAGAGAATACAAAATGTGTCAAAAAGGCAATATTTTCTATCTTTTCTCCCCACCAATACATATCTGTCTGCTTAACAGTGCTACTGGTTTCAGAAAATAAAGAGAGGGATAAAAGAGGAAGCCTTTAAAGAATAAAGAACTGCCTTTTCACCTTTTGACTGTATTTTACTCTGCAGGGAATAAATTTGGTTTGTGTTTGTGACAGGTTCCTTTTTCACAATGGATTTCATTGCTTGTTTTAAATGAACATACGAATGGAACTTAGTGTGAGACTGAGCTAATGTTGTACCAGCAGCATTGTGAAAAATGACAGTGCAATGTGTTTTTTTTTTTTTAAACAGAACATGCAGTTGCAGTAATTCACTGAGCCAGATACTACTAGCTTTCCCCCTGCCCTTAGCAGCTCAGTGAGCTAGCTGAGTAAATACCTCTGAAAGCACTTCCACACCAGTGCAAGCCAGATTTTTAACTTCAGTAATTAACTATCATCTTCCTAAAGGCTTAAAGCATTCACAGTGAGTGCACAACAATGCACATCAGGAACATTAACTGGATAAACTAAAAGAAAACAAGAGAAGATGCAAGCTGCATGATATTTTGCCCCCAAGGAGAGAAGTGGTTTCT